GCCTATGGAGGTATTTGAAAAAATATTCTTTAAAAAATCCACGCCTATGGAGGTATTTGAAAAAATATTCTTTAAAAAATCCACGCCTATGGAGGTATTTGAAAAAATATTCTTTAAAAAATCCACGCCTATGGAGGACTATGAAAAATATTCTTTCAAAACTCCACGCCTGAAAAAATATTCTTTCAAAACTCCACGCCTGAAAAAATATTCTTTAATAAATCCACGCCTATGATGGTATTTGAAAAAATATTCTTTAAAAAATCCAAGGTATTAGAAACAATATTCTTTAAAAATCCAAGGTATTAGAAAAAATATTATTTAAAAAATCCAAGGTATTAGAAAAAATATTCTTTAAAAATCCAAGGTATTAGAAAAAATATTATTTAAATAATCCAAGGTATTTGAAAAAATATTCTTTAAAAAATCCAAGGTATTAGAAAAAATATTATTTAAAAAATCCAAGGTATTTGAAAAAATATTCTTTAAAAAATCCACGCCTATGGAGGTCTTTGAAAAATATTCTTTAAAAAATCCACGCCTATGGAGGTCTTTGAAAAATATTCTTTAAAAAATCCACGCCTATGGAGGTCTTTGAAAAATATTCTTTAAAAAATCCACGCCTATGGAAGTCTTTGAAAAAATATTCTTTAAAAAATCCACGCCTATGGAGGTCTTTGAAAAATATTCTTTAAAAAATCCACGCCTATGGAGGTCTTTGAAAAATATTCTTTAAAAAACCACGCCTATGGAGGTCTTTGAAAAAATATTCTTTAAAAAATCCACGCCTATTTAGGTCTTTGAAAAATATTCTTTAAAAAATCCACGCTTATGGAGGTCTTTGAAAAAATATTCTTTAAAAAATCCACGCCTATGGAGGTCTTTGAAAAAATATTCTTTAAAAAATCCACGCCTATGGAGGTCGTTGAAAAAAATATTCTTTAAAAAATCCACGCCTATGGAGGTCTTTGAAAAAATATTCTTAAAAAAAAAACACGCCTATGAGATCCCTGAAAAAAATTCTTTAAAAACCCCACGTTTATGAGGTCCCTGAAAAAAATTCTTTAAAAACCCCACGCTTATGAGGTCACTGAAAAAATAATCTTTAAAAAATCCACGCCTATTGAAGTTCCAGAAAAAATATTCTTTAAAAAATCCACGCCTATTGAAGTCCCAGAAAAAATATTCTTTAAAAAATCCACGCCTATTGAAGTCCCAGGAAAAATATTCTTTAAAAAATCCACGCCTATTGTGGGCTCTAAAAAAATTATGTAAAAGACTACTGCTGCTCTCTTATAAGAAGACCCATTATACTTTTCTATAATCTCTGAAAGTCTCTATTCCGGCTTCTGGCACCGCACTTTTAATCGTAACAATTTCAAATATGTTCCACATTTTTTGAATAATTTTTTTTGTTTTTGTGGCTTTTATTTAAGACTCCCAATCTGTTGCACATTTTGTTTTGCATATACGACTACTTGACTGACAGCAGAGAGCGAAAAAGAGTGGGAGCCTGGTGGCGACTTGAATGGCGTCTGAATTCAAATATCCATTGGAGCAATTATAGCAATGATGTGTCGCATTTGATTTAAGGCTTGGTATGTCTCTCTTGCTGTGGTTAGCTTGACGTTGTAAATAACAACACATCCGTGTGTGTGAGAATGTGTGCATTTTGTATGTTCAGCTCCTCCATTCGCCGGTGGAGTGCACTTGGTTGTAAGTCCAAAGTCCATATCTGTAGCTGTCTTTTAAAAATAGGCATTTGTACGCCTAAACAAATATCAGCCGGTATTTGTTGATGTTTTTTTTTAGTGGGGCTTTTGGTGTTGTTATTTACTATTTGATATATATGTAGGTATGTATATATGTATATATTTTTATTACATTTTGTTATTAATAAATCATCTCAAAAAAATGTATTTGAACTCTTGGCACATGCAGCAGCAGTGAGCAGTGTGAATAGCCAGCATGTGCTGCCTCCTCGGGTGGTGTGTGCATGTGAATTAAACGTTGTGCCCGAAACGAGACCATCGTTGTAGTTGTTGTAATTATCAATCGAAATGAAGAAAAAAACTTATTGAACTCAATTGAGTAGATAGATAAGTTTAAAGTGATTGCGTCTTAAATAAATAAATACGGCTGCAAGCTGGGCAAGTTGACAATTATAAGCTATGGACCTATATGATATTTTGGGAGGGGTACTTCATATTAGGGTCGAATTTTTATAAAATCCACACAATCTTCGCTAGCTGATGTCTTTGAGGAAATATTTTTTCAGAATTAATTTCCCGAATAACTATTTTTTAATTTTCGAAAAATATTCTTTTAAAAATTCACGCTTATTGAGGTTCCTGAAAAAATGTTCTTTTGAAAAAACACATCTATTGAAGTTCCTTATTTAACAAAGGGTATAAATAACTCACTTAAAAAATGCACGCTTATTGAGGTCCCTAAAATATTATTTTATCACGCTTATTGAGGTCCCTGAAAAAATATCCTTTAAAAATTCCACGCTTATTGAGGTTCCTGAAAAATATGTTTTTATAAATCCACGATAATTGAGGTCCCTGAAAAAATATTCTTTTAAAAATCAATTAAAGCCCCTGAAAATTATTATTTTAAAAATATGCTCTTATTCAGGAACCTCAATAAAAATATACTTAAAAAAATCCACTCTTACTGAGGTCCTTGAAAAAATTTCTTGTAAAAATCCACTCTTATTGAGGTCCCTAAAAAACAAAATATTTTAAAAATTCGCGATTTTTAAGGTCCCTGAAAAAATATTCTAATAAAAGAGTCCACAACTATTGAGTACCCTAAAAATATATATTTTTTTAAATCCACGCTTATTGAGGTCATTGAAAAAAAATCTTTTAAAAATCCACGCTTAATGAGGTCCCTGAAAAAATATTCTTTTAAAAATCCTGAGGTACTGAAAAATATTTTTATAAAAATCCTAAGGTACTGAAAAAATGTTCTTTTAAAAATCCAGAAGTCCCTGAAAAAATATACTTTAAAAAACCCATTCTTACTGAGGTCCCTGGAAAATATACTTTAAAAAATTCACTCTTACTGAGGTCCCTGAAAAACAAAATATTTTAAATATCCACGGTTCTTAAGGTCCCTGATAAAATATTCTTATAAAAAAGTCCACATTTATTGAGGTCCCTAAAAATATTTTTTCCACTCTTATTGAGGTCCTTGAAAATGTTTCTTTTAAAAATCCAGCTTATTGAAGTCCCTGAAAAAATATTCTTTTAATCCTGAGGTCCCTGAACAAACTATTTTAAAAATCCACGCTTATTAAGGTCCCTGAAAAAAAAAATATTTTAAAAATCTTAATGTCGCAAAAAAAAATATTAATCCATGCGTATTGAGGTCCTTGAAATTTTTTTTTTTTTCAAATCCACTCTAACTGAGGTCCCTGAAAGAAAATATTCTTTAAATAAAAAATCCACACTAATTATTGAGGTATCTAAAATACTATCCTTAGTTTAAACCCCATAGTTTTTCCACACAAAGTTGCCCAACGCCGTTAAAAAAAACGTGACTGAGCATGTGAATGAGTGCGTACTACAACATCAAGTTTCATATGGGCGTATTTAATTTTTCCTACTACTATTATTATTATTTTTGCATATTTTTTCTTGAAAAATTATTCTTGATAGTTGTTTTCATTTGTTGTCTCTCTCTTTTATTATTTTGTTTTTTTTTCTTCATATAACAATTTATGCATATTTTGATATAAATTATAGAGACCACTGCCCGCGGTTGTTATTGTTTCTGCTACTATTTCAAGTTGTTATTGTGGTTATTTTTAGTTCATTGTGCGTTGTAGGCTATGTAAATTAATCTCTAATAAACAACATTTGCATACAATTTGTAGTTGTTGTTGTTTGCAATTCTAGTGAATGTCGTTTTCTTACAGGCTACACTATGGTATTCCATGTTAGGCCCGTGATTCCGTTTGTAATAAAAAAATATTGTATAGAAATAAAATATATAAAATTTTATTCTCCTATTAACCGATCGTTTAAAAAAAAAAGCTATAGGAGTCTTCTTTGGCCAGAACCTGTCACACATGCAAAATATCGTGGCGATTGGTCCATAACTGTGGTCTGCATCGGATTTTTAAAAATTTCTAGATCGACTCAGCTAATTAAGATATGAGGATTGCGGTTGCAAACTTTTGGGGCCACACAAAGCTTTGATACCCTCACAACATAGTTGTGTAAAATGATTCTTCTTGTAGCATCCTTTTTTTTCTAAACTTTGCACATCGTAATACATTTTTCGGAGCGGAGTATCCAATTTGTTCTAAACTTTGCATAACGTAATACGGTTTTCACACCTTTTTTTAATCCGAAAATGAGATTTATCGCTCCACTTCTTTTAGTACTTCACCCATAAATTATCAACTTTTTTGAACATTTTGTAAATCTCGAAGCTATTTGGGTATTCGATTTGATCCAAACTTCGCACAAAGTACTATTTTTACCATATCTAAATCATAACCGAAGATACAGTCTATCGGTCCACTCCTTCTGTTACCATCCCAAGAGTTGAAAATATTAAAAATTTTAAATTTAATGAAACCTCTGGTAGGTCAAAATTAAATATGTCAAATTTGTTCGGTCCACAAATCTCTTTTAAATTTTATAGGGTCTGCTCTTAATAAATTTTAAACTTTGGATTAGTTGAAGTTTTTTCCCAGTCCTTTGAAAAATTCTATTATTTTGAAACACTGGTCAGTTGTAATTTTTCTCTTCTCTCTTGAATTTCCAATTATCAGGAGTAAATCTTGGATGTGGTATATTAATTGTGTAAGACTGCCGATGAAGTTCGTCTTACTTGCCATCAACTACCAATTGATTAAATCTTAAGTCAATATTATGTGTTTAGGATATTCACAATTCGTCCAAACCGATCATAATCAACTTTATTCACTTGCTTTCAAGTTTAAATAATATGACGCATTTAAAATTTTTATGTCGTTTCAGATATGCCAATTTGCCAGCGGATAATTTAACGCCACAACATTTGTCACCTCCAGCGGAGAAATATTGGAGTATGATGGCCTATAATAATGCAAAATTATGTAATGTGCTGTTTGCTGCCAAGTTAGCTAAGGTATGTTGTGAGTAACAATAAATTGTAATTTAGTATTTGACGTAATATGGAGTGGAGGCCATACTTTGTAGCTATAGACCACTCAGGTCTTACAAGAAACACACGATCAATTAAAATATGAACAATCATAAAATAGATTTGTAATGTCAGAATGGAAGTTCATTGGCTTTTTGAGCTACCATTTCGATTTTATAATGAAACCAATACAAAATTAATTAAAAACTAAATATTTATTTGCAAAAAAAAATCCGAATTTTATTTATTTATTTTTCTAGACACATTTTCCAACCGAATTATCTGTTATTTTATATTATGAGTTCTAATAGAATAACAATTTTTTCTAAAAAAAATATTTGTTACTAGCATATACCCGCTACTTCGTTAGCGAATGTGGGAAATATTAAAACATGTATTAACATATTATTTTATTTTATTTTCACAGAAAACTGCATATGTCAGAAAAACTAAGCAATCCACACATTAATATCGACCATAAATTAAATTTGAGTGCCATTTAGTATCAAATTTCATGATTCGAGCTCTAAATATTAACCCAACTCTAAATTTTAATAAATGAAGTTCCGTTCAGAACACATTATTTCAATAAGTACCCACCTCAACCATCCAAAAAACTTCTTCCATACCCCGACCCTACACCTCCACAATGATTCTAAACTCAAATTTCAGGATTCCAACTCTATTGGTTCACCCACAATTCAAATTGTACCAAATTTAGCACACAGTAGTACGAATTTCCAAAACTTCCTACTTATGCCAAACCTACACAACCACAGTGATCCTAAATCCAAATTTCAGGATTCCAACTCTATCAGTTCAACCACAATTCAAATTGAACCAAATTTAGAAAACAGTAGTACCAATTTCCAAAACTTCCTACATTTCCCAATACTACACCTCCAGAGTGATCCAAAATCTAAATTTCAGGATTCCAACTCCCACAATTTAAATTGTACCAATTAGTACACATTAGTACAATTTTCTAAAACATCCTACATATCTCAATCTAACACTCCACCAGTGATCTTGACTCCAAATTTCATGATTCTATCTCCATTGGTTCACCTAAATTTGAAATTTTACCAAATTTAGTACCATTTCATAAGTATTAATTTCTTAAACTGAATCCGGACTCCAATCCTAGACCCCTACAGTGATCCTGACTCCAAATTTCATTGTACAAATTTTAGTACATTTTAGTACTTTTTGTATACTTATAGTTCGAATGCCCAAAAAACCCTTTGCTATATCTATTCTGCACTCCATCGGTGACCCTCATTTAAAATTTAAGACTTCTAGCTCTACCGGTTCGCCAAATACAAATGGTATCACATTTAGTACTTTTCGAACCGTTCTAGTACGAATATCGAAAAACCCAGCCTTATCTGTCACCTTTGGAATAAGAGTGACCCTCACCCAATATTTCAACATTCTAGCTTCAGCTGTTTCGTCTGGGCGTTGATGAATCGTTAAGCCAGTCAGTCAATCACTTTATTCTTTTAAAAAGTATAGATTAAATTTTGGTATTTTCAGGGTTTTGAAACCGAATATGGCTGTAACTTGATATTTTGGGTGCTACGTTTGAAGGTGTCCTGTGGTACAGGGTATTATGTCTTTGCGCATATGTTTGTAACAGGCAAAAGGAAACGAGGTAGACACATGGTTCCTTTTGAGAATATGCATAAAATCACTTTCTGAGTCGATTTATGCATATCCGTCCACCTGTCTATCCGTCCGTCCGTCCGTTAAATTGTAAACAAAGTACAGGTCACATTTATGATCCGATTTTGATGAAATTTGGCACAAGTCACTTATTTGGCCCAAGGACGAACCCTATTGAAATTGAACAAAAATCAGTTCAGATTTAGATATAGCTCCCGTATATAGTTTCGTCCGATTTAAGGTAAATGGGGCACCGAAGTCCCTATATATCTTTCGATTTGCACGAAATTTGGCATAACGTACTGAATTAAATCTAGAATGATGTGTGTTCAGTTTCGGGAAAATAGGTTTAGATTTAGATATAGCTTCCATATATATTTTCGTCCAATTTTGTGTAAATGGTGCACCAAAGTCCCTATATATTCCTCGATTTGTACGAAATTTGGCATAGCGTACTGAATTAAGTCTAAAATGATGTGTGCTAAGTTTCCTGAAAATTGGTTCAGATTTAGATATACCTTTAATATATATTTGTGTCCGATTTGCACAATGTAGTGAAGTTAGTATGGCCTAACGTGTGAAAAGTTTGGTTCAAATCAGTTCAGATAGCTCATATATATATATTCCTCCGATTTTAGTAAATGATGCACCGTGCTAAAAGTATTATAAACTAACTGCGACAAGTTTCATTGAAATCGGTTTAGATATAGCTTCCATTAATATTTTCGTTCGATTTTAATTAAATGGTGCCCAAACTACTCATTTTTTTCATATTGACGTGAAATTTTGTACAACGTACAAAATTGAGTATAGAGTGACGTAATTGCTCTTTGTAGAAATGTAGCCCATATATTCGACCGACTTCATGTTTATTGGGTTTCAAATAATCAATAAGTGTCCGATTGAGATTTGCTTTAAATCGATGAACATAATATTGTCGCATTCTCTATCTATCCAACTGAAGAGTTTAGTATAGGTTACAGAATAACATGCTTATGGATTGATCTAATTCGGTTCATATTAATATATAGATCATGTTATGTTAGAATAGTCGGCCCGTCCGACTTTACTACCCTCCTTACTGTTTTTATACCCTTCACCACACTGTGGTACAGGGTATTATGTCTTTGTGCATATGTTTGTAACAGGCAAAAGGAAACGAGATAGACACATGGTTCCTTTTGAGAATATGCATAGAATCACTTTCTAAGTCGATTTATGCATGACCGTCCGTCCGTCCGTCTGTCTGTCTGTGCATGTTAAATTGTAAACAAAGTACAGGTCGCATTTATGATCCGAATTGGATGAAATTTGGGTCACTTATTCGGCCCAAGGACGAACCCTATTGAAATTGGGAAAAATAGGTTCAGATTTAGATATAGCTCTCATATATATATTTAACCGATTTAATGTAAACAGTCCCTATATATCTTTCGATTTGCACGAAATTTGGTACAGCCTAATCATTTAGGTCTAGAATTATGTCTGCCAGATTTAGATATAGCTTCCATATATAGTTTCGTCCGATTTCATGTAAATGGTGCACCAAAGTCCCTATATATCTTTCGATTTGCACGAAATTTGGCATAACGTACTGAATTAAGCCTAGAGAGATGTAAATGGTGCCCCAAAGTCCCAATATATCTTTCGATTTGCACGAAATTTGGCATAACGTACTGAATTAGGTCCAGAATGATGTGTGTTAAATTTCCTGAAAATCGGTTCAGGTTTAGATATAGCTCCCATACATATTTTCGTCCGATTTTAGGTAAATATTGCACCAAAGTCCCTATATATCGTTAGATTTGCACGAAATTTGGCATAGCGTACGGAATTAAGTTTAGAACGATGTGTGTAAAATTTCGTGAAAATCGGTTCAGATTTAGATATAGCTCAAATATATATTTTCGTCCGATTTTAGGTAAATAGTGCATCAATGTCCCTATATATCCTTCGATTTGCACGAAATTTGGGATAGCGTACTGAATTATGTCTGGAACGATGTGTGTTAAATTTCGTGAAAATAGGTTCAGATTTAGATATAGCTCCCATATATATTTTCGTCCGATTTTATGTAAATGGTGCAACAATGTCCCTATATATCCTTCGATTTGCACGAAATTTCGCATAGCATACTGAACTAAGTCTAGAACGATGTGTGTTAAATTTCGTGAAAATCGGTTCAGATTTAGATATAGCTCCCATATATATTTTCGTCCGATTTTGGATTTATAAGTAAATTTGGATTTATAAGTAAATAAAGAACTCAAAATGTGGCCGAATGCAAAAACCATACTGAAATAAGTGTATTTCGCTTTAAATTTATTTACATTATTTTGTCCCATCGTAAGAAGCAACTCTATACCTGACCAAAATTTAGTATAGGTTGCAGAATGACATGTTTAATTTCATGTTAATGGTTCTTCAATAATGCGACGTCTGTTAGGATTCATCTGGGTATCATATAGTCGGCCCCGTCCGACTTTACTACTTTCCTTACTGGTTTTTTTTATTTTAAGAAATTTTTTCCTTCAAAAGTGGCTGCAATTTACTATTTCTTGTGGTCCATGGGATACAAAATATCCTTGGAAAACGTAGTCGACATTGGTCTACTTCTTTGCTATGTTCGTATATAAAAATCCCAAGATTATTAACTTCGGAAAATTTGGCCCGGTCGTAGTTAACGAATTTTTAACTCATTTTTTATATATCTTTATATTAAAAAAGTACATTTGTATGACCGGTTATTTTAAGAAGGTGTCATGTATTCTCAAGAAATTAATCTTTCAAAATGTATACCAAAAAAATACCACCATCACACACATCCCTTTGAAATATATGCACATTAATAAAATACCATCATGAATAAAATGCTGTAGCCAACAACAAATATTCTCCCAAAATGCAAAAAACCGGCTTCGAATCACTCACGTGCACAGTCAAACGCCTAATAATCGAAAACATTTTTTTTTTTTAAATAAATCGGTGACATACTTGGTCACACTCAATCCGCTGCACATACAAACCAAAAATAACAACGTCTCGTCTCGTTAAGGATTGTAGCGAGACTTGTGCAATACACGAGCAGACTGCAAAAAATATTCTGACTAACAAAAAAAATGTGATACAACAACAAAAAAATGAAGTAATACATATTTATTTGTTAGTTAGTTGCCTGCATGAACTTGTTCTTGTACACGCAGGCACCACATGCCATCTTAAAGTTGCATCCAAGAAACCAGTATTTGATTAGTCCACCAAAAAATATGAACCCGCACATAAAAATGAAATATTTCATATTGACCGAAACGCAGAACAGGACATTCGGTTTGAACGAAGTTCTTTACACGAGGGTTGTTGATAAAATTTTTCAAGGGATTTTGGATGGTCAGAAGTTGACATTCAAATATGAAATATATTATAACTCCTCCTAATGTCGAACCCTCACCATAGTTATATAGACAGTTACTTCCAATAAAGTTTCCAAGCCAACATTATTATTTAGATATCTTTGTAACAAAATTCCCCCATGAGTTCTAGGTTTTTCCAATCGAAAAATTTCAAAATTTCCAAAAAAGGCATGTCTTATCACTTAACACCAATTGTAACCCTCGAGGATTCGCTTCTTCGGGTGAAGTTAATGTATAAATTATTCAGTCTTTTTGCAAGATTTGTCCCCAGATTCAATTCAATTTATTTCATAAACGGAACCTAGGCCAACGAGCCATGAGTGATTCCAAAAACTTCACTACATGGTCTATTCCAAAAGCTTCAAATTAACAGTATACTACTCCAATCCAAATCTGTTCATGATTTTAATACCGAATTAATTAATTAATAAACAAAATTATTTCTAATTTCAGCTTTGGAAACATCGCGGCATATCTGTGTTCTCTGTACATCCCGGTAATATGGTATCAACACGAATACAACGGAATTGGTGGTTTTATCGTTTACTGTTCGCATTGGTGAGACCATTCACTAAATCACTGGTAAGTTTTCAAAAATTTAATTCACATTTTTTTATAAAACTTTAAATAGAAAATCGTTGTGGCAAACAACAATTGCATTTATACAACACACAAATTCCGAAGGTTCTTATTGTAATTAGTTTTTCATTCTTTCGTTTTTTTCTTTGCATTGTTTCTTTACAGCAACAGGCGGCTGCCACGAGTATCTATTGTGCCACTGCCAATGAACTTACTGGCCTTACAGGGCTTTACTTTAACAATTGTTATTTCTGTGAGCCAAGCAAGCTATCGCAAAATGAGAATTTACAAAATCAATTGTGGACGATAAGTGAAGATATGGTGAAGCGTTTGAAGGAACCAGAAAGCCAACAGCTGTTGTATTAAGGACAAAAAAGGAAACAATATTAGAAGGATGACATTTAATTCTTAATTTGTGGTGTTAGATTTTTTAAATATATGAAAAAATATTAAGATTTAATTTAATAAATGAACAGATGCTTTTAAAAATCCCTTTATTTTTTAATTTATATATACCCAGTAGTTCGAGTAACTGGTGATGAACTAGATATTTCACTAATTACCTGTAAGTACCACTAGTTACCACTTCATGCCCTAGACTGGTGAATTTAACATAGGTATGTCATTGGGGAAGTCAATTGTCCCCTGCCTGCGTTACCAGTATACAGTCATTTCGATAGTCGATTAATTACCCTTTGCATTACCAGTAACTACTGAATTGGTGTGATGTGGGTAGACAACTTTTTCAATTGACAAAAAATCAAACTGTCTATTTTGTGTGCCTTTTTGGAGTATGAAGTAACTAGATCACCAAGTAACTAGCTATATAACTATATAATAGCAGACAATTGATATTTTTTGAACAACTGGGTATATATATATATATTTAAAAGTTTCCGCAAATCGAAAGATATATAGCGACTTTGGTGCACAATTTACATAAAATCGGACAAAACTATATATAGGAATTTCGTGCAAATCGGACATATAGGGACTGTGGTGTCCCATTTACCTTTAATCGGTCGAAACTATATATGGGAGGTATATCTAAATCTGAACCGATTTTTCCCAATTTCAATAGGGTTCGTCCTTGGGCCAAATAAGTGACATATTCCAAATTTCTTTCAAATCGGATCATAAATGCGACCTGTACTTTGTTTACAATTTAACATCTACAGACGGACGAACATGCATAAATCGACTCAGAAAGTGATTTATGCATATTCTCAAAAGGAACCATGTGTCTATATCATTTCCCTTTGCAGTTACAAACATATGCACAAAGACATAATACCCTGTACCACAATGTGCTGAAGGGTATAAATATATTTTTAATTTTAGTAAAATATTTTTAATATTAAAAAAATATTTTTAATATATAAATTATTTTTTGATGTTTTAATAAGATATTTTTATTTTTTATTTTAATCATTGTTTATTAAAATGTTTTTTTTTTTATTAAACAAATTTTAGCAATATATTTTAAATATTGTAGTAAAATGTGTATTTAAAAAATATTTTTCGAAAAATAATATTTAATTTTTATTTTTGATGCCGCTCTTCTAAATGAAAACAGAAGCCCCAAGATTTTTATTAAATTAAAACACATTACAAGTTTTTCTTTTAAATTTTTTTAAATATTTTTTTTATTTTAAAATATTTTTTTTTTTGGTTTTTGATTTTTTTCTCATTTCATTACATTTCGAGTTATTACATTTTTTTATTAGTATACAGCAGTCTATTATGGATAGTTGTGTAGAAAAATCACAACTTAACAATGCATAATAAAAAGAGAAGAACAATTAAGTAAATCCTAAAGAGCAAGGCGATAATAATTAAAAATGTTTTCCCCATTTATCAAGGAAATCAATTTGTTTCCTTATGTTGTTATCAGGTCAATGGAGCGAGGAAGCCTTGCAAACGCTTACAAGCTAAACAATTTTCTTAATATTATACAAAAACAAAAAAAGTAATGTGAAACGAAAGAAACTAAAGTGCCTCTCTATGTTATTATGTATCTTACTATCAACTAACATTAGGATGATGATTTTGGGATGATGGCTGTTGAGGATACTTAAATTTTAATGATTTTATGACTAGAAATCGGATACACGTCCCTTACGTTCCCAATCGCCATAACGTGTGGGCTCAGGGCCGGCGGGACCACCGATTTCACCAGTGTGGGGGTTAACATTGTTGGGCCATGGTCTCAAGGGTTCAACTTCTTGGAAGGGATGACGTGAGAATTCATCCAATTTACCCAATGGTGTTTTGGCTCTCAATTTCTTTTGGAATTCGATGAAGCGGGCACTTTTTGGTTTCAAGGTACCTTTGAAGGTTTCACCTTCTTGCAGGCGGGCTGAAGAGGTGGAGAAGCAGGCCACTGTAAATAAAAAGAAAAAATATAAATTAATTAAAATTTGAATTTTTAAAATAGAAATATATAGGAAAAAATCTGAAAATTTGTGATTTAGAATGGTCGATGTAAAAATTATAAGTTCAAATATTCACATATTTCCAAATATAACGATTTAATCGATCCAACTGCATTCTAATTGGATTTTTTTGCAAATTGGAATTATTAGTTTCTATTCTATTCGAGATTTTTAAAATAATTCAAATTTCGAAATGTTGCTAAAAATCGGGTCCACTTTTGTAAGGCACAGTATTTTATTTGATATTTTCTTATTGGAAATAAGAGCTTATCGTTATTTCTCCCGTTATTTGAAAATTTTTCAGATTGAAAAATCGATTTCCGAATCAAATGAGTTATTCTATAGATTTTCCGATCGATATATCAAGATTTTTTCGTAATAATTCTCACTCAATTCTTGAATATGAACACAGAACCCATTTTAGTATTTTTCATTTCTGGATTAGAAACAGCCGAAAATTGGAAACTAACTGGAATCTAAAACGCAATTCTCTGAGACTTCTTTAAATCACAATTTTTTTATTGATGACAATTCTAGATTCACTGGCCATTGACCCACGATGTCCAATGGTGACCAAATTCCAAAAGATTTTCATCATCACAATTTTTCATTGAATGTTATTGTTGTTTTTCATTTGGATGGTGTGGCACAAAACATGTAATACACTCCTTACCTTGTTTGGTGATTTGTGGCATCAAGCGGCTGGTTTGTTTCACAATTTGACTCATTTTGTATTGATTTGTATTTGGAACTTGGAATAAATTTCGAAAAAATCTACAATAGACTTCTGTTTTCCACTACAGAATTTCTTATTGATATCTTTACTCGTCGATGTTTTTGTTACACAAGAGACTGTTGTTTTCTCGATTTTATTTTGTGCTACTACTTTATTGCCGTATAGCACGTTGTTCTGACGTTTGTAGTTATACGATTGACAACTTTGGAATGAATGCTTGCCATTTCGTGCCAAACAGCCGGTTTTATACCAACAAACCAAAGCATGCTTCTCTTTCTCTCAGGCTGTGGCTGTTATTACCGCAATGCTCTCTCGCACAGGCAGCGACAGCGCAGTCATGCACAATACAATCCACAGGCAAACCAAGTAAACAAAGCAACAAAGGCAGCGCTGCTCTCACTGCATGTGTAAAAGGTTGGATTCCGTTTATTCTTGTTGTTATCAATGAAGAGATGCGAAAAACAAACACAAAATGTAAATGAAACAAAAACAAAACATTAACACACATTTTTTTGTTTGGTTGTGTTTATCAAACACCCTTTGATATTGTTGTTGTTGTATGGTTATATATAAATATACATGTTGTGTATATAATTATTATCTGCTAAGGTTTGGTTTTGTTTGTACATGCACAATACAACACCAACCAAATACTCTCGTGACTTTGATATGTATGTGCTCCAAACATTACAGCGTCGAGTGAGTGTCAATATGTAACGTAGTGTACATATCTACATACATATTAACGTACTCGTTTTTTCGCAGTTATATGGATGTACGTCGTTTTATGCACGTATGCCGCTGTCGTTCAGCCATACCCCAATTAATAGTATGTATTCACACACATTCGTCAATAAATATGTATTGTTTTGGGTCTCGTGAATATGTCTCGTCACTCACGTTCCCCACTGGTCGGTTTAGTCATCGACAACGAACAGCAGTAACAACAACAAACGATAGCATATCTTAAGTATTGATGAAACTTTTCGTTTGGCTGAAGTAGGGGAGGAAGGCCCAAATAGCAACAATACCTCGCCCAGCTGTTTTTTGTTTACATTTTTTGTTGGGTTGGTTTTTTTGTTGACAGATGATACAGTCTGCATTTGGAGGAGTTCAATATCATTCGTCATATACTAAAGGGAAAATGTGCATCTACAATAAAAATTTGGCTTAAATGCACTTTACGGACACCTCTCAGATCATTTTGAAATTTTTATCATAGGTAGCCCTTCTGATGCTGATTACAGCAACATAATTTTTTTCGGGGGGAAATCAGTATTTTCCGAGATATGGGGTTCCAAAGTTCAAAAAATACCCCCACTTGTTATTAAACATATTTAAGAATACCACTCCGAAACGTTTAGTTTTTTTACAACACATAGTCCTTTTGGAGCTGATTACAACCACATAATTTTTTTTGGGGGGGAACTTCGTACTTCCGGAAATATGGAGTTCCAAAATTTTAAAAATAAGCTTATATTATTTGTTTGATTTCAGAATTTTTTCCTTTAGGGACACTCGGATTTTCCACCCAATTTTCCACCTGTCCATAGGATAAAGTCTTAAATCCCCGGCCGAAGGCCGGCTATTTAGAAAAAATTGAAATTAAAAGAGAATTCTGCTCGCGTAGCCCAATTTTCCACCTGTCCACAGGAGAAAGTCTTAAATCCCCGGCCGAAGGCCGGCTATTTCGAAAAAAAAAATGAAATTAAAAGAGAATTCTGCTCGCGTAGCCCAATTTTCCACCTGTCCATAGGAGAAAGTCTTAAATCCCCGGCCGAAGGCCGGCTATTTAGAAAAAAAATTGAAATTATTCCGGAAGTACGAAGTTCTCCAAAAAAAATAATTAGGTTGTAATCAGCTCCAAAAGGACTATGTGTTGTAAGAAATTTAAATGTTTCGGAGTGGTATTCTTAAATATATTTAATAAAAAGTGGGGGTATTTTTTGAACTTTGGAACCCCATATCTCGGGAAGTACTGATTTCCCCCCGAAAAAATTATGTTGCTGTAATCAGCATCAGAAGGGCTACCTATGGTAAAAATTTCAAAATTATCTGAGAGGTGTCCGTAAAGTGCATTTGTTCCAAAAATTTTAACGCATGATGAATTACGAGTGGTATCTCATCTCATCTTCTACCTGAGTGAAGTGCGTAATTTAATATTTACGCACATCTGGGAGATTCCATAAATTAAAAGG